ACTCTGTGTGGGGAACATGACAGCCAGACCAAAGCTCAGAGGTGAGATGAGGATCTCTAACTGTCCAGGACTCAAATCACTCCACCATCATTATTCACTCTCAAAGCTCTGTGTGTGTTGTGTTGAAGCCCAGAGCAGCAGCAGGGACCAGACTCTGCTGGACCTGGACCTGGACAAGGACCTGGACCCAGCTGTGAATAGTGACCGGTCTATGGGGCACCCTATGGAGTTTAAAGATTAACAGCAATCTGATGATCAAAAGTAATATTTTATCTTTTAGTTTTTATTAAAGCTTTTAAGAGTCAACATAATTTTCAGCAGCGTTTTAACCCTGAAGAATTTCAGTCTATCTTTGGATTTATCAGTGTTTGATTGTATCAGGATCCGACGAAAGACACCAGATTCTCCAGGACCTGGAGTGTCCATAAAGTGTGACCAAGAGTTTAAAGATGAACAGCATTCTGATAGTCAATGGTGAGAATTTTTTATGTATTAAAACATTTGAACTTCATTTTCAGCAGCGTTTTATCTCAGAACCTGTGCATTTATCAGTGTTGTGTTTCTATCAGGATCCAACAACAGTCCAGTCTACCCTGCACCCAACTGTATTTCCATGAAAAGTGACCACTTCATACGTTTTTATACCAAGATATGAGAAAAGCATTTTGAAAACTAAATTACTTTTTTTTTTTTTATAAATTGCATATTATTGCATTAAATCTAATATTTCTAAACTGTATTGTACCCAGTAATAATTGACTTGAACATATGAGCCTTTTTCAAAGTATAGGAGAATCTGTTTCTACCAGGACCTAAAAGATATAACACAGCACATTGTAGCAGGTCTAAACTGCATATGATTTTTAATAAATTTATGAGAATTAATACCCAATTATGAATTTTAATATTCAGAAAATATTAATCCATAAAAAGCTCTCATTTCGCGGTGCACCACGGGAGTTGTTATTAACCTAGAGTCTCCGGACCTCTAGGTAGCTTTTAATAATTATACAATTATTCACCAGTGATCAGTTAGTTAATAATCGCTCAATTATCTTAAATCAATCAGTCAGTCTCATATCTAGGGTAAATTCTCTTGGCAGGGACTGGCAATACACACAATTGTATTACAGTGAATTTATTAACTAACTAAGGTGATATAAAAAGGTGGTTAAATACATCAGAGAAATAAACAATGGCTAAACAATGAGAATGGAGGTTCGATTGTGGGAGGACTTGACTCATATGGCAGAGGAGAACTAATGAAAGTAAGCTATAAGTTTAGGAGTTAAAAAGACAATATTAACACTATGGGACATCATTGATCACAGAATGCCTTGTTTTGCCTTACGGTGGGTCGGCGGCCTGCCTTGGCCTGTTGCACGGGTCCCACGCTAGCTGCCCGATCCTGGCTTTTTGCTAGGGATTCTCCGGGGTTCTCTGTGTCTGATTGAAGAAAAACCCTTAAGGGTTGGCCGTCCTCCGCCTGGCAATTCGGCTGTTCTTCAGGTGTCCTTGGTTGCCGCTGGTGAGACCACATGGGTTAGTCTGACCTCGGTGAAGTTAGCTCGACGAAAAAGCTTAAAAGGGAACTTGGTCGTTCCTGAATTAGACCACTGTAACTTAACAGACTGATAACTTTTAACAAAACAAAAGAAAGAAAATAAACCAAGTAAAGTTGCTGGAACTGAGGGACAAATCGATGTTGCGGCACCTCGCGTGTGTAGCTTCAAGCGAAACAAAGACTTTGTTGCGCTGGTCGAATTCTTAGGGCGTTGCCGGGAGAGGGGAACGACGGGCGCGTGCCGAAGCGCCGTTGAAGAGCCCGAAACAAGCCGGCAGAGGAGGGTGGCAGAGAGCAGAGAGGAAGAGAGCGAACGACGTCATGTGTCTCTCTTTTGTTGTCTGGGGCGTGGTTCCCCAGAGGGCAGTCCTTCGTTTCCCGCAGAGCGGGCCGTTTGCCGGTTTCCCGAGGGACTGTCTTTCTAAACTTTTAATATGTCTATAAAAGGAAAAGAAAATCTATTTGGGCGTATTATAATCAAATATTTTCCCACAATCAAACCTCAATGGTCAAGTTTAAGCATTTGGTAACAGGAAAACAATTGTCAGTAATTAGACCTTAAAAGGTTAGCATTTCAGAATGATGGCATGTAATACTTATTTCGACCACTTGGGGGTGTTTACATAAAGTTCAGGGCTGTCCTTGGTGTCCAGGAATATCCCTTTGATGAGAGGTAATTAAACACAGAGCAAGGACAGTTGCCATCGTTACATGTGTGGGTCAGTTTAGGGTTTCCTACCCCTTTCTTTAAGAAGAGTTCTGATAGGCTGTATGTAATCTTTGGTTAGTTTCTTTGTCATTTGAACAATTCAGGCACAGAGAGGCTTATCTCGGCTGTGATGAACTGCCCAGAGACAGCACTTTTTTTTTTCACCTTTTCCTTTGGGTCTCTTCAGCCGTCTGTTGAAAGTTGATATGTTTACCCCCTCCGTTCTCTCTCCCAGGGAGAGAAGAGGAATTTGAAGTAGCCCAAATTTATTTTAGGTGTGTAAATGTACAAGCTCAGCTACTACTGCTAATTACAACAACCATTGAAATTATATTGATAAGTTATTCAATTATTTCCCAATTACACTGCAATGGCACCTCCACAGGAGTCACAGGTCAGAGGTCGTGATTGATAATGGTCATACACAGTTTCAGAAATTTTGGAAACTTCACAGCTGTTATCAATTACTTGATACATGCCACTTTTAAATGCAGTTATGACATTCGACCAGCATGTGTGTTGGCTCCCCTAATAGTAGGCTATAACCAGCAATATATGGCAACAATATATAACACTAAGTAAAACTACATTTTCTTCTGTTCCAGCTGCTCCAGGAAAACATTGTCAGGTTTGTGAAGAATGTGAAGGTGAAGAACGAGGTGAAGAAGTTCCAGAGGGTTCTGAGTCCAGATTACCCAGAATGCTTAGAGAGTCAGAGGGAGGATGAGGAGGTGTTGGACGGTGAGGAGAATGAAGCAGGAGGAGCTGGCTGAGCGTCTGCAGAGCAGTAAGAGGATTTGAACAGATTTAACATGATGGAAAGAGGAAATGGAGGCAACATGGGAGAAGTTTCCATTTCAAACTCTGCTGTTAATATGATGCACACATTTGGATCAGATCTATGAATTCTTCTGGGCTGAAACTCCGAAACTGTTCACAGCTGATGAGATTTCATGGAGGAGGAAAATAAATACCATCTTGATGTCTTAAAGTTTACATTTATTAGATTTACTGCAGCATCCACTTATTAATCACATTTGTTGTTTCTTCATTCAGGAACTGCTGCTCCAGTGTGCCGACGTAAACTCAAGTCTAACCTGAAGAAGAAGTTCCAGTGTGTGTTTGAGGGGATTGCTAAAGCAGGAAACCCAACCCTTCTGAACCAGATCTACACAGAGCTCTACATCACAGAGGGAGGGACTGCAGAGGTCAATGGTGAACATGAGGTCAGACAGATTGAAACAGCATCCAGGAAACCAGACAGACCAGAAACAACCATCAGACAAGAAGACATCTTTAAAGCCTCACCTGGAAGAGATGAACCAATCAGAACAGTGATGACAAAGGGAGTGGTTGGCATTGGGAAAACAGTCTTAACACAGAAGTTCACTCTGGACTGGGCTGAAGACAAAGCCAACCAGGACATACAGTTCACATTTCCATTCACTTTCAGAGAGCTGAATGTGCTGAAAGAGAAAAAGTACAGCTTGGTGGAACTTGTTCATCACTTCTTTCCTGAAACCAAAGAAGCAGGAATCTGCAGCTTTGAAGAGTTCCAGGTTGTGTTCATCTTTGACGGTCTGGATGAGTGTCGGCTTCCTCTGGACTTCCACAACAATGAGGTCCTGACTGATGTTACAGAGTCCACCTCAGTGGATGTGCTGCTGACAAACCTCATCAGGGGGAACCTGCTTCCATCTGCTCGCCTCTGGATAACCACATGACACACAGATCTTTAAAGAGGAGAGAGGGCTGTACCAGGACACGGTGTTCTGCTTCGTCCATCTGAGCGTTCAGGAGTTTCTGGCTGCTCTTCATGTCCATCTGACCTTCATCAACTCTGGTGTCAATCTGCTGGCAGAAGGACAATCAACCTCCCGGCGGTCTAGAGTCTTCAGAGACAAACCTAAACTAACACATCTCTACCAGAGTGCTGTGAACAAGGTCTTACAGAGTCCAAATGGACACCTGGACTTGTTCCTCCGCTTCCTCCTGGGTCTTTCTCTGCAGAGCAATCAGACTCTCCTACGAGGTCTGCTGACACAGACAGGAAGTAGCTCACAGACCAATAAGGAAACAGCTGAGTACATCAAGAAGAAGATCAGTGAGAATCTGTCTCCAGAGAGAAGCATCAATCTGTTCCACTGTCTGAATGAACTGAATGATCGTTCTCTAGTGGAGCAGATCCAACAGTCCCTGAGTTCAGGAAGTCTCTCCACAGATAAACTCTCTCCTGCTCAGTGGTCAGCTCTGGTCTTCATCTTACTGTCATCTGAAAAAGATCTGGACGTGTTTGACCTCAAGAAATACTCTGCTTCAGAGGAGGCTCTTCTGAGGCTGCTGCCAGTGGTCAAAGCCTCCAACAAAGCTCTGTAGGTGGATGTATGTATGTACATTTCAAAAATGTTTGTATTTGACAAATAAATAATTTAGTTTGTGTCCATTGCTAATCCTTTTTCAGGTTGAGTGGCTCTAACCTCTCAGAGAGAAGCTATGAAGCTCTGTCCTCAGTTCTCAGCTCCCATTCCTCTAGTCTGAGAGAGCTGGACCTGAATAACAACAACCTGAATGATGCAGGAGTGAAGCTGCTGTGAGTTGGACTTGAGAGTCCACACCGGAAACTGGAAACTCTCAAGTCAGTATTAAGCTGTTTCTTTTAAATCCTCCTAATCTGGTTAGTAAAAATGGTCTGGAGGATATTTTCTGACATGATTTTCTAAAACACAGAGTTTATGATGTTTTCCTGATTCCAGGCTGTCAGATCACAGAGGAAGGCTGTGCTTCCCTGGCCTCAGCTCTGAGCTCCAACCCCTCCCATCTGAGAGAGCTGGATCTGAGTAACAACGACCTGCAGGATTCAGGAGTGAAGCTGCTGTCTGCTGGACTCGAGAATCCACACTGGAGACTGGACACTCTCAGGTTTGGACAGACAACAAGAGCTCACATTCTGCAGGTGTCTCTATTTTCTGTTATTTAATGTCAGTCTACTGGAGTCCATCATCATGAAGGACGTCTTATTTCTCCTCATTCTGCTCAGAGCAGTGAGTAGGCCTGAGTTAGGAAACACATGGAAGTCTTATCAATTGGAAACATCTGTTCATTAGAAACATCAGAAACTTGCATGTAAAATCATTCTCATGTGAGCCCTGCTAACAGCATGGCTCTGTGGATACAGGCAGGGGTGGACTGGTAATCTCGCATACCAGGTAAATGCCTTGTGGGCTGACAAACCTTAGGGGCCGGTGTATCATAAATTACTCATTTATATAACTTTTTTAAAAAAGGGCCAACTATCGGCCCATAAAGCATGTACCGCCCATTTGGTCATTTTCTATACTGACACTGGGCTGGCCTAATTACATCTCTTACTAGTCCCCCTCCCTCCCCCAGGGCTTAAAGTTCTCCGGCACAGCGCCAGAATTCTTATGTATTTTTTTAACTGTCGCCTGATATGTGTGTGTGAAGCGCCAGTCCTCTGCACAATCTCTGTTGGTGTATGCACAAAAGAAAGGGGACTGGCACTTCCTGACTACATGGACACTAATTGGCTATTGTAGGCCTTGGACTTCTACTTTTTACTCTTTGGCATTATGGGACTTTTGTTGAGTACTGCCCTCTCCTTATCAGGTTCTCTGGGCACTATGTGATGCTCACCTGTTCCTGTTCTCGCCTGCTTCCTAATCTCTTGGTACAAACAGAAGAGGAGAAAGAAGCTCGGGTGCCTTTCGTGCAGTCGTGTGCATATCAAGTTGTGTTGCTCATCAAAGTAACTGTTGTGAACTACCTAATTACAGCCTGGAGGTGCGTGACACTAAAAAAAGTTTGACGTACTACAGCAAACTTTAGAAATGTTGAACTCATTGTTGTGCATGAATGATTATTGACGAGTTAGTAGTACTTAGCATTAACTAATTAGAAACTGACCACGATAATTTTTCTTACACAGATTTAATGAATGGAAACAACCCACACAAAGGATACAGCTGTCCAACTTGAACTAATATTATGCTAGTCGTAAGATATGTAGTAGGTTATCTGAAATTATGATGAATACACTAACATTAGCCCTAATACTGGCCGCTACAAAAGGCAACATGTAAATGGGGACTACCAGTAGGGCTGGGCAATTAAACAATTATAATTATCGCAATATAATTTTCATCGATAACAAAATAACAAATGTTCAATAAATGTTTAATTTAATTCATTTGAATCATAGACAAATCAGCATTTCATTTTTCTATTTAGATATTTACTTTGTTGAGAAAAAGGGACTGAAAACAGATTTTATCAGAATAGTTCTGAATGTTCTGTCTCAGATTTGTGAAGTGTGTTTGGCATCAAGTGTTTGTTCTGACCAGAAGGAAAAGTTTAAAACCACAATTAACTTTCACTCAGGAGCAAAAATCTGCCTTTAATCTTGAAAGAAATAACGATTTGACATTTATTGTGAAAATTTAATTTAAAAAATATCCAATGATATGAAATCTTTTATTGGGATAACATTTTTGTCCATATCGCCCAGCCCTTTTTCCACTTCAAGCACTGATTTTAGGTGATGGCAGAAAATGTTTCCAGAATGCAGGAAATTAAGTGTTTAACGCTCAAATTTTTCAGGGGGAGGACTCCCCCAGACCCACACGTTGAACATTTTGTCAAAACAGTGTACAATTATCTTCTCGTCTTGTGAATCCTGTATCGTAATTCCTCATGTCTCGTGAGCTAAGTGTATCATCACACTCCTAATATTCAACACAGAGTTACACTCTTGCCCCCTGCCCTCCATCTTTCTGTGCCTGAACGCATTTCAGGCACAGAAAAAGTTCTTGCTTTAAGTCCTACTCCCCATCTGCCCTCTGTTTCTTGCATTGCGGGCCAAAAAACAATCTTCAGACGGATGCCAATAATAAAAGCCGAAAATAACCAATATGTGAGCAGGAGGAGATTGGAAGTGAAGCGGTAAGCATAGAGTAGCTCAGCCTTTAGGGAGGGAGGTTCACAGTGTCATTTACACTGGGGACACTGGGGACATGTCCCCACTACTTTTTATAATGGCAGATGTTGTTCACATCACTTTTGAAAGCATTTGTTTAAAATGTTCTTAAAAAAACTTGTTCATTAACATTCATTCAAAAATGTTCATTAACAAATGAAAATGCTTTGAGAAATGTTTACTTGCACAAATCTGAAAACCTACAATGTAAACATAGAAGAAACATCTGCGTTGTCCAATAAAAGAAACTTAAGCTAAAAAAATAATAAGCTACTGATTACTGCATTATTCTATTACATTTTTATATTCTGAATCGTCACTTGCCACCTAAATTGTGTGCTACCCTTTATATAAATAAAGACATTTCCTCCATAAATTGGTGCAGAAAATATCTCCAGAATTCAGGAAATTAAGTGTTTAATGCTCAAAATCTTCTGGGGGAGAAACAAATGGTATATTTCATCAAAAAATATTTTTTTCTAAATAGTGTTCATGTTACTAGTAACGGGTTACTGTAATAATATTGCTTTTTCCAGTAACTAGTAGTGTAACTAATTACTTTTCTATAACAGTTACTAAGGCAAGTAACGCTGCGTAAGTTGTTACTGAACGCACCATCTTTGATGTGAATCCACGACTGTGCAGCAGGTCAGTGGCACTGGACTGTGTTGTTCATGTCAGCTGATAGCCAAACACTGAAGGAAGAAAGGAGAACGAGGGAGACAGGTGTTCTTTCCACAGCTGGAAGTAGCTGCTGCCATTTATGTGTCACAGTCTAAGATGCAAAGAACATTGTCGTCTATTGTACTACTGTGCTGTAGCAAAAAGCTTTCAACCGCGAACATTTCTACATCTCATTTATTGAAGCATCTGCTGCAGCAGCACAGTGATGTGAAACTTACAGAAAGAAGCTGTTTAAAAGTCGGGATTTACTTGCTTTATATTTTTATTTCAGCTGGTGGTGTTAAGAAACGTTAGGCCAAGGCTATATGCTTTGTAAAAACCATACTCCTTGCTGCTGTTATGAATATGATATTAGATTAAAAAAAAGTCGGGAGAGATGCTTTGTTTGGGGGTGAAGGGGGTGGTAGTGAAAGCAGTGTTTCCCATAATTAGCCTATAATTTTGATAATTATCAGCGTGGACTGCCACATTGGCTACTGATTTTCAAAATTTTTTACTAGGTGTACTTAAAGTCATTGATTGAGGAGCATATATTCGTGCAGCACCTCCTCCCTCTTTCTTTCTCTCTCTCTCCCTCTCATGAACACCGCTGCACAAACCTGTCCAAAGTTAGAATACCACCCCTCGCTGTCATTCTGTGGGAAACACTGGAAAGTAACATAGCAACGTAACTAGTTACTCTTATCACCAGTAATAAGTAAAGTAATAATATTACTTTTTTAAGGAGTAATAAGTAACTAGTAATATATTACAAATCTGAGTAACTTGCCCAAAACTGTGTGTCAAACCCCTAATCTGGGCCCTTAAATGTCCCCACCACTGTCCAACACAAAGTGAGGCCCTTGGGTAGGGTGTGTGCCATGCTGTAGTGACAATGATGATGATTACTTCAATTAAGGTCAATGATTATAACATGATCGTGAAAAGAAAATCCTGCTAAATTTATGAAATAAATAAATAAATTAACAATTGTCACTGTGTTTTTATTTGCCTGAGCAAAATATTTTATTTCATGTACCATTGTACATTTGACAGTTGTAGGTATGGTACAAATACCATGGTACATACATATGTATATATTTATGTTATACCATGGTACACATACCATTGTTATATTGTAAATACCGTGGTATATGTACCATGGTATTTTTTGACAGTATCATGGTGCATATCATACTGTATACCATGGTATTTTTGACAGTACTATGGTACCATAGTACTGTCAAAAATACCGTGGTACTAGTACCATGGTAAACTTTCTTAATCTCAATAAATGCAGGAAAATTATTTGCAGGTCTGCAACTCAGATCAGGACATTGTAAAGGAACTATAGTTAAGTTATGCTTAACAACCCCAGCGAATCTATAACTACATCTAGCTGGCTGATACAGTGTTAAAGACACACGCAGAGCAATACAGCAAGTCTCCAAATGCATACAGCATCAAGCATGCAAAGCTTCACATGAGGCAAGAGTAAGTGATAAATTCGAGGAGCGGATGCAGTCACTACAGCAGAGAATCTTTTACGGTACCTGTAGTCGGCTGTGAAAGTCAACATTTGGATTTGATGTCTTTTCCTACCCATCGGCTTCACAGCATTTTTTCATCCAGGGTCCTAAATCCTCCCACTTTTTATGTTTAGCTTTGACAAGAGGGACATGAGGAACTGAGTTAAGCATCTGAAACAGAGTTTTAGAATGTGGATCATTCACAAAACTGCACATTTTTTATTGCTCCAATATCACAAGGTCAGTATCAGTGTGTTTTTTTTCCTTCATGTTTTCTGAACCATTTGTTCTCTAAAGTCACGAAATCAGCACGACGATGCACATATGACGTGCAGCCTAGTTCTTCTGGAGACATGAAGACTGTCTGTGAGCATGTGTTCTTGAAAAGTGTTTTTACTTCTGTGATTAGGGAATGGTTTACTGCGTTAACTGCTGTCTCTGGCGTTTTCCACTTATGTCCATATCTCAACTCCCTTTGACTCTGTTTAACATATTGTGATGCCATTTCAGAAATTCTGGCCACAACAACTCCCTTAGGAGTGGAAATCAGAACAATGCCCAACAAACACATCAAATCTCTAGTGAGGAGGTTCACTGGACAATGGTCTGATATCAGAAAGGAGTATATTATACACCGGAGACAGCTGATCAG